TGTCGCCATTGGGGACCTGCGATTGTCTCCGTTTAGATACTGACAATCCGGGCAAGGGATGTGGTGTGCCTGGTGTCGAACCATGTCTGGATGCTACGCTCATAGTTAGTGAGGCGCGGAGGCGATTGCGATTCAAGACGACTTACAGCGTCGGTACTTTTTGATTGGGGACTTGGCCGGCTCGGCAACACTGTCCCCAATCCTCTTCGCTGGACGTCTTGCGATCGTAAGCGCAGCGGCTTGTGACCTGATCTCTTCTGCTTGGTTCTTGACCTCGCTGTATGCCTCCATTCGCGCCATTGGCCCGAGCAGCGCTGCATTTACTCCATCATCCTTTACGTAGCGGCAGTAGTCCATCAACACATCAGGCGCATCGGCGCGAATCTTCGCGGCTGGCTCCCACGAGACGTCCTCTCCCTCGTCGGTATATCCAAGCCATTGTACGAGCACTTGCCATTGCCCTTGAACACGACGGTGTCGAAGCAATCGAAAAGGGTGGTAAAGTTCTCCGATTCCTAGGACGTCTTGACGCGTCTTGCCCTCAAAGCTGGTCCAGTAGTTGTATAACAAAGTCGGTCGATGCTCCTGGATATCCCATTCAGCTACATCTGAGCGAAGGCCTTTGGCGAGGACAGTAAGGGTCACGAGTGTGGTATGGGGATCGAGGGTATGAGCAACAATTTGATCGATGGCGTCATAGCAAAAGTCTGCTGCAGATACTGGGTGTTAACGAGGGCGCACAAAAACGGGATTTGGAGCATACAGAGAAAGAACCATGAAGCATTCAGAAGAGTATCGTGCGTTTTATAGGTTTCATACCTGGCTGAGCAAGTCCAACAGAGGCTCTTTCTCGAACCATGACTTGAGGTGGAAAGTGGCACGTTTGTTATAGCGGGAGGAACAAGCAAACAACGACAAAGTCGACATCAAGCGGCAGCGCGATGCTGTGGGAAAGTTGCACTCAAATCGTCAGCGGGTTGATCGCGTGTAGACGCGTCCGTGTTAGGCGGTACCTAAGCGACGTACATCCGCGTTTATTCTGGACCGGGCTCGGAAGTCACCCCCTTTGATACGCGCCCGACCGCTCCGGCGGGGCCGACCTACCGATTAATGCTGCTCATATCAAGATCCGCTTCAACATGCCCTGTTCAATGAGTCCCCGTCAAAATAGGAAGCTCATGTGTGTGATCGATTTTATATGTTGATCCTGGCGTCGACCGGCGTCATGTCCCCTCGTGCTTTTAGTGTGGCGGTGTAGAGGAGACTCCCATGGACGGGTCGCAATAGCTGCTGGCAAGACGGATGGTTAGCCCGCGGTAGTTAGAATGATGCTGACTCCTAACGAATCCATGAAAACCTCTTCAACCAAACACCTGACGCTGTCCACATCAACCCTGCGGAAGAGCATCCCATTCGTGGCAGGCGCTCTTTCGCTGTCTCATAGATTCACCAGAGATCATCTCGGTAAGCTTTCGTCACTTAGGTGTGAATGACCAGGAATCATATGCAGCAGCAGGCCTCGACCGTGGTCGCGCAGTCCGCAGGGACAGGGCTGTGTTAAGCAAGAACGTCCATCGAGGTTTGGTCCGCTGTGGTATGCGAGAGGCTTTCTGACCGTGGACGTATCAGGCTGCCTTGGTTGTTGCCACGTTGACAGCATGAAAAGCCGCCTGACCCATTGTAAGGGCCTCTTATGAGGCCGAAGCAGCGAAAAGGGGCCGTGGCTTGGCTTGGGGGGAAGTGAATATTCGGACACAAGTATCGTTTGAGCGAACCGCCTATTTCAGGTCGATTTCAACATGGCTGGTGGCAAACAAGCACATGCAAGGTCACTACCCGCAACGAAAGCACTACACTAAAGCTGCCATCCTTGTCAAAAGCATAGTAGAGCACGAGAAACGTGAGAGTAAGCGCGCGTCGACTGTGACAAGCCATGATGGCAAACTCTCAGCCTCAACAGGCGCAGACCCACATGAGCGTAAGGCGGGCGTACAGACAAAATCAGTGGGGTGTAATCCCAGTGCGCTGATCTCCAGTACAGGTTCTGCACTCCTCCGAGGCCTGGGCATGCATCCCTGGCTCCTTGTCCGCGTTTTTGGTGTCTTCTAGCCCAGCCCTCCCGGGTTTGGTTAGGGCCTGTTCGCGGGTGTTCATGGCACGAGTACGCAAAACGCCCGCTGAAACTTGCTTTTATGCTTCACACAAGGGTCAGTAAGTAACATTGCTAGGTCGACGCGGGAGCACTCCGTGATCTTTATGCTCTGAGTACCTTGTTATCGAAGAAAGTTAATTCTTTCTGAGTCACAAGTACAAGAATACAGTTTTAATAAAACAGTGTAGTGCCCACCCAGCACTTGAATTGAGATGCTTTTTCAAGCTTGCCATGAGAGAAAGATGACTGTACTGCTGACTGCCTGCCATCGAGGTCCGCAAGTGGCGCTGTGGCTTCAACCGTGATGGCTTCGCCCGTGATGGGCGAAAAGTCTGATTATGAGTCCCTTGAAAGCCTCTAATCAAGAGCTATAAGAGCCTCCGAGTATACTGAGTTGAAATGCTTGCCAAGATACCAACAACCAAACCAACCCCACGATGACGACCTTGACAAAAGACCTGGTGGACAACGCCAGAATCCTCGCCGACGTTGGGCACGATCCACGAAGCGTAGCAACGCGGCCGCAGAGCATCGCCAACATGTCCCACGCCAAGAAGGGCATCATCAGCACCAACGAGACGGACAGGGCCGTGTCGATATGGCGCCTCGGCTTCCTCCTACAGCTCGAGGATAATCGCCTTAGACAGCATTGGAAGTCCATCAGAAAGCTCTCTCGAGTGCTCCGGCACATCCACCGCCATCTCCGCGATGGCAAGACTCCCGGCGCCCACGCACAAGAGTGGGTTGCCTACCTCCAGACAGTAACACCAGCCTACCAACAAGCTGTCGAAACTGCGATTCTGGCGATCCCTTGACGAGGGAGAGGGTGGAATGGAGGAAAGGATGGGTGAGAAAAGGGTTGAGGTTGAACAGTGCGGAATTCGAGGGCAGGGTAGCGTCTACATGTACTGCGGCAATCCTCTAGTAATGCAAAACGATGGAGTTAAACAGTGGATCTTTATGCTCAAGGCGATTGGAGGGAGGTCAGAGCCACCAAGGCTGACGACTTAATTAGCTAGCCGAGCAATTATTAGCCAGGGCATGTTCAGGAATAAGTGATCGAATCATCCGACGTAGGCAACAACGTATCATGTCGGAAAGCTCTTTCTTGTACCGAGCGGCTACTGACTGTCCCATTCATAATGACCTTTTAGGTTCCGTTGATTTGACCTGTGGCTTGACAACCAGGGGGTTCTGAGGATTTGTATGTCAACTGCGAGAAGGGTTGCTTCTGCAATACAAGGATCGGCGCAGACGTCGAAGACACGCCAAAGATCACATGAAGTCACCCTCGATTGCGAAAGTCAAGCCTACGAATCAGCCCATCACTATCCAATTCATCGTAGCCTTGCAAATATATGCCACACCCGTGGCGAGTCTCGTTCATCTCGTCAGTGTCAAACTGACTCGAAAAATAGACGTAATTGAGGAAAAGACCAATACAGACACGAACATACGTTGATTTACCGAGCAGCGACAGGAAGTTTTTCCATCTCGTGAAGCAGTTCCAGAGCTCAAATGAGAGGGAGTGCTTGCATCGCATTCTCGGTCCACAACTGACCGCACTTCGGCTGCCAGCCTGTCTCAGGAGCTTGGCGAGCTGGCAGCTACTGAGCATTGCAATTGGTTTGGTCAAGGTGTAGAGCTCAAGACATACTTTGACTGAACGCTGGGTCGTAACCCTGCACTGCTTGTTGGCTAGCGTAAAATTCTGACATCGCTAGCAGGCCGCTTTGCTCTCTGTGTGTTTCTCAAGAGCGGAGAAGGGCGCTAAGAAGCCTCACTTTTGTCACCCTACCTAGACGAGACATGGTCGTATGCTAACCAAACCTCCGCAGCTAGGGCAAAGTGTAAGGGTTCTGGTGCATCTATTGTGCGTTGACGGTGCTGATAGGGCACATGGGTCTGAGTCACCTATTGCATGCTAAATAGACTCGTTGACTTTACCGTATCTAGCGGTGAGGGTGGCGGCGGAGATAGGTAGGTGAATCCTATTGACCTAGCGAGCGGCCCTTAACATATCTCGTCCACTCCGCTGCAGGAACAACGACGGGCAAAAAGCACCGAAACGGGGCGGACCCTTGGGGCATAAAATGCTCTGAAACCCCCCTTGAACACAGTAAATCATCAATTGATACCAGTCGGTACAGTCACTGCACAAGACAGATCATGTTGGTCCCTTCAGCTGAGGAAACCGAGGCCGGGTATGATGCCAACGCAACAGACTCTTCGTATGCAACTGCGGAAGCCAGCTCAGGACGGTTTTGGAGACAGGTGAATGGTACAACTCATATAGGAGTAAAAACCAAAAAAGTTACTCGGACACAGCATGAGGCTCCACCTTTTCGAGTGAGTCGAGGCTTCTAAGTAAAGCATAGATACTGATGATATCCGAGGCACCAGCACAAAAACCGCTTCATGTCAATCCCGAAAGAAGCACAAGAAGAGGGGGGGACTTGGGGAAGCATGGCAACGCAAATACTGATTTGAGGCGAGGTCTATGGCTCTTTCAATCGGCTGTCAATGACGAAGCGTTGAATTCAAGGATTGCGGAAACCAGTGGCTTTGATCCTCGTGAGATTTTGGCAGCGGTCTCCAAGTTGGAGGATGACGAACTCATTACTGCCAAAGAAGGATGAGCTTCCCCTCCAGAGCCAACGACTCTGTCTGGCTCGAATGTAAGGAGATTGAGATGTTTCGAAAGCTCCCACGGTCTAACGGCAGGTTACACAGGTCACAACTGCGCCCCTGCCTGCTGGAGCTTGGTTGAACCCGGCGACAACTCCGGGGACGGTGCCAGGTCCCGTTATCTACTCCAATCAGGTCAATAATGGCGGCAACCAATACAACGGAGATGTTCGTATTGACTATGGCCCTCCAGAGACACTCAAAGGCAATCGAAGTCTTGATGTGAGTTGGGACTTTCAGTTTTGTTTCGTCATGCTGACAAACATCTAGGCGGTATCCAGCCCGAATAATGAGCTGGACATACCATCTCTTCCCAAGTTCGCCCTAGACGCAGAGGATGCCACTTCGCGTGATCGCGAATTCGACTATTCAGGCGATACCCGTGTCGAAAATGAGGGAAAGAGAAACACCCTGACGTCAGCACACAGCGACCTGATAAGTCCAGCACGTTGGGAGCAGCTTGTCGCTGTGACAAACTCCAGCCTGGTCTTCTCGGGAAACAAGGTATTCGGCTGGGAGCAACGCATTTTCAGGGATACGACGCAGAACGAGAACTGAATCCCTTCAGAAACCTTCGAAAACCAACTGCTGCAATCTATGTGGACGATCCGAACGAACCTCTTACGACAATTGAAGGAATTGTGGCTCATGTTGAACGTGGATCGATCTTATGGTGTTGGGAATGCCGAAAGGACACGAAATATGATTTTAGGTTGGGTGGCGGCGAGCATCACGGAGCCTTCCTTCGGCGCGTTAGCTAGCCTAATTGCCGACTGCCTTCTCGGCATTAGAACGCAATACATCGCTTTTACTTTCCACTGACAGCTACCTGCCGTCTTATCCGATGGTTCATTACTGCTAAACTTCCCATCAGGCTTTCGTTCTGTGGATTCATTGACCCAATGAGACCATGAACACTCCAGAGTATCTGTTTGTGAGCTGCGGACATAGTTTTGCCACAGCTCTCCAGGTCTACATGATCCATGCTGGCGGTGCAGGCGCAACCTAGGACCAGTCTCCAGAAGACTGACGGGAACATCGAGCCGTTCAGGCTGGGCGATTCAGATGACCAACATAGCAGCCAGCACCGTTTATCAACGGTCTGGGTGCTTGACACAAACATCAATGGCAGATCGCATCTTTCAGGTTACCGTCTTGGATTCGGCTACGCGGTATGAGATGAGTTCGCAAGCGAGCCTTCAGCCTTCAGTGTTGAGGAATAAATCTGAGGCTAATACATGCTTCTTCTGCTTTGCAATCCTGTGGCTGTGTCAGTTATTGCCTGGCGGTCAATCTCCGCCACGTAAATGAGCAACGGCGCAGTGTAGGCGAACGTCACCAAGACGAATGACGAATGGCTTTGTATGTCTCAAACATGCAGTGTCGTGGCCTACATGCGGTGTGGCATACTATTGACAGACAAAGTACAGCTGTGAGCGTAATGATTCAAATGAGTCATTTCAATGTAACGTGGAATGGTGTAATTGATTACAAGACCCAGAGCCATTCAAATCGAACCCGATCTTTCTAGACTGTCCAAGCTGCAAGAATCAAGTCTTCCCCCCGTCCACACAACGATTGTTACGATGATGAACATCCCTTGTTTTCAAAACCAACTGCATGGAAGTACGAATTTCTTTATTGCGAGAGAATCACGCTAGTCAGGTTTTCTCGATGATGCAGCGGTCTTTGGACAAGACCTCAACGTACCTCTGCTCCCGCAGACGAGGATTGCGAAGGCTAAAGTGTTCCCCAAGTGGCAGTGCGTGCGTGAAATTCTACTTGCTCAGCTTGAAGATAGCCTGACATTGTTACAGTGTCAATGCGGCCACGGGTCAATGCCCATGCGACCTGAAGAATGCCACTTTTGTAAGACGCCCAGGTGCTCCCATTCTCAAGTGAGCCGCGTCAGAATTAAGTCCACTGAGCTCATTGGTGGTGTGGCATCGGCTCCTCACAACCAACTTTTGTGGCAGTCTCGGCCGTCTTTGATGATTCTTGGCGACTCCATCGACGATTTGTAGGACGTCGCCGCATCAACCACAAGAAGTAGCAATTAGAAATACACACCTCTTCCAATATCGTTTCTCACATTACGCTGGCCTTAATATTGGTTGGCCGTTAAGCCTAAGATAGAGGCCATGTGGCTGGGCCGGCGCCTCCTGGAGCTCGGATGCTGACATCAATCTTCCCATATGGGACAAGGGATGCCTCGTGGTGGTGTGAGGAAAAGCAAATTGCAAACCGAGATCTCTCCCCTCATACCCCGTGGTCACCAGAATCTCCTGTCGCCTTAAAATCCTTCGCTCCCTCATTTGACAGCGCCTCACACACGGGCCAAGCCTGCCAGCGGATACTTCAGTCTGAGGTACTTAGGCCGTCAATCAGCTAGCATCATCTTGCCCTTAGCGAAAGCGGACTGAAAAATTGACTATGAATGTAAGTCTACCTTCTACCGATACGTGCGTCTCAACACACTGAGGTTCATGCAAGACTCCCTACAAGCGCAAACAGCGGACAATATCCTAGAGGTAGTTCCTAATAAAGGTAATGGATCTTTATCCTTGAAAACAACGGGCCCTAGTCCGATCAAAATGAAATTAGCATGGCCAAATTGACTTACTGGTCAGAACCCTCGATGACGCTGCGATTTCCTCTACGTATGAGGCCGCAGAAACACCATGTCGGACAACACTTTTGCTATGCACGATGCCAAATGATCGACCAGTTGTCCGCCCTTCCACTTGGGCAGCCCCAGAGTCTAGGACCTAAAACACCGAAGGCATACGTCTGGACATGCGTAAGTCGTTTGAGACGCAGTATTTATCGGCCACGACTGATGCATAACGATAGTGCCGGTGCGCCTGGGGAGGGCAGGCCCTGGAAAATGGGCAATGTTGCAATTGTGGAGTTGGACGATGTGGATATTGTCCAGTCAGCAGTTATAAGAGCAGGACTACTATCGAAACAAGGTGTGCGATCAGGCTTCTTGAGCTCTCCTAAATCGTAACCTTTTCTAAATCATCGATCTACGGTCGTACCGAATTCTGGAGTGATGGCCCGTTCAGTTATCAGTTGGCGCCCCGAGCCGAGGAAGGTGCAGCAAGAAGATCAATATCGGGTCTGGATGACGTCCATTCTGGCGTCCGACTGTATCCGCCGAAGGAAGAGATGGGCATCGTAGGGCCGGTGTGCTGGGGTCAATCCCTTTGCTGCGAGTTGAGTGGGGGCGTCTTTAAACACACGACCAAGTTCAGTGTACGTGACACTGAGCCTGGAAGTCGCGACACGCCCCCGACTTTCCGCGGACAAGGGTGCTGGTACCGCCTGCTCGCCTTCCAAGCACCCCCAATAGGGGCGGCTTTGGCGCCGCAACAGGGGCCGCTGCGCGTGGCAGACCACCAATCACACATTGCCTAGCAAGCCAGATCGCACCTAATCATGTGGTTGTTTGCCAACGACGCGCCAATCCCTGTCAGATTACCTTCCCTGCCCTCCAGCCGGAACAAGCTTGCCAGGGCCCGGCGGCAGCTCATGAGCGATTCATCTTCCCCAGACCAGCTCGATTCCGGCAAACTTCTCTCCTTCCTTATCCCTGCGTCCGCCGCACCGTGCAACGAACACCGCCGGGCGACTACGGCCGCCAGGACCTGCATGGAAGGGATTCGATACCTTTGGGAGGGTGTCAGGGCTTCGTGAAGTCGACAAGGGATCGTTCCTTGTTCCGAGGCCTGGCTCAGGGCCGCCCTTCAAGCTACACCAGTGACTCGTCGTCGGTGTATCCGTAGGGGCCATGACGTGCTCACCGCTGGGAACGTGGTCACGCGGGCGAACTTCGAAAATATTCTAGACTTGACCTATCTCACCTCGACCATTCATTGAGTTCTCCTTCGAGCCAGTAAGGTCTCTGAGAGCTCCTTACAGCATCTTCCTTCGTTGTGTGAGGGCTCCTCAAGCCTGAACCGTCCCAAGAGGACCTCCACAAACAGCCACTGGGATGCGTAGTCCAGGCCTAATCTGGCTGTTCTTGACCAGTCGCGGGACGTCCGGTGAGTCGAAAAGCAAGCCTCTCAGCCGGGCCAGCAGGGAAGGTAGACCGACGTGTGCGTTAGGCCCAGCAGGCATTGTTCCCAGGATATTTCCTGCTCGGAGGACCATGAAGAGGCCTCTAGACCCAACCAGATGACTCAACGAAAGCGATGGGTTCGCAAGACTTGGCGAGAACGATCTGCGGTACGAGCTGGCAAGAGTGTGAGTTGTCCTTGTCAGCCCTGACAAGGGATTCGAAAGCTGAAGAGCCTGATCCCGCATTTGAATACGCAGTCATCCTTCCCTCAGATACAGTCGACCCACCCTATTGTTTGGATATTGCGCTGCCCATAACGGAGTTGCATCAACCAACTGCTCCGTAATCGATCAACGGGCCGAGTCGACTCATCGACATGTGACCTCGAGTGAAAGGCAGTCCCGCCCCTTCGATGCTCGGAGGGCAGTCATGCAATCAGATACGTCCCCAAGTCGCTCGTTGTCTGGTCATTACCGTAGGAGGGGGGTCCAACTTGAGTTTCTACAGGGCTGTATTCTTTCTCATGTCGGGCGTCAATGTCAGTCCGACCCAAATAAGGCTGTTAATCCTCACTGCCACTCGAGTCCGGACGGTGACACAGAAGCGGCGCTGGAATAGAGAGTCGAGCAAAGGGAAACTGAAAATGCCTTCTACAAGCGCTTAATCGATTCGATCTGTACCGCCAACGACCAGGGGGCAGAGGATATGTTAAAGCAAATTCGGGCATCAGGCAATCCCCTCGAACTCATTGGATCCAGCTCGACGCGGATTGCCACCAAGAATCATCCAGAGAAGATGGGCGAATCTGCGCTATCAGAAGATGAATTAGCCCAAATCCACACGCCTGCCTCACCGTAACAAGAGGCGTCAGTTTGACTGCAATGTTCGACAAAAGTCACAGCTCATTTCGTCGCCACGTCCGCGGGCAGCAGGCAAGCCGTGGGCAACATGACTACTGGGCATGTAATCCGAACCCTCAAGCATCTCTGCACGGGTTCTGTATATTCAAAAAGGATGGGCTTGAGCACCTGGTCAACCGTCCTTGAGCTGCGTTGGTCTCGGCCTCATAGGGGCCTGCAGGTCACTTCGCGAATCAATAATATCAGCTCAGAAACACCGTGCAGCCCCTTCCTGTGTTCTGGTCTCGTCATCAATGTCTTTCACAAACATGATGGTCTCTTCTCGGGTGAAACAACTAGACCCAGGCATGACTTCGGCTTGCCTCGAGGAGCCGGGCTTGACGAATGTCTAGTCCAAAGTTACGGTGTTCTCGAAGAGGAGTAGATGATCGGTTACAAAATGAGTTAGCAGCTTGCAGAGTTGAACGAGGTTCCTTGTAGCATCGCATCTACCTTTCCGAACATCAAATCAAATCAATATCACCTTCCGATTTTCAAAGTCTTCCTCATCGTTGTTCACAGACTGCCAAGTTGGATAAAATGGAAGTTTACCTCCCAAGATCTCGGTCATGAGTGCGACGCTGCGGGCTTCCACATTCATCCCCATGCACGGCAACGCCGTGGAGTATGGCATGGCGCACAGAGGGAAGCTTGCGGCTCTCATCTCTCTATACAGGCTCCGATGGAAGGCATAGTACGGCCTGCTGAAACCAAGGCCAGTAAACGTCCTCGATCCAGGATATCAGGAACTGGAGCACACAGACAATTTGATACACCCCCAGCGGTTCACTTGTCGAGCCAATCATCTGACTCGACCACAACGTCTATCGTCTCATATGTCAGCATGTTGTTCGCAAAAATGCATCGGGGAAGGAGGGATGTGTGGCGGGAACGTCATCTTGCCATGGCATGACTTACCACTTCATCTCCATCTCTCGTACTCGCTACGAATAACCAGTCGTTTCCTTGGACAATGATGCCAGGAAGAAAATCGATCAGGGGCATCCGCGGAACGGTGCCGGCCATGAGACGATCTAGCATGCGCCATTGGCTCGCATGCCAGGTCAGGAGCTGGGCCTCAGCGACCGATAGGCCTTCACCCTGGAGCTTCGTCTCGATACTAAGGCCAATCGGACGTGTTTTCAGGGCGCCGTACTCTGTGTGGTTAATAGACGGCGTCTCGGTCAGCACCAATCTATTGATGGCTTGGGCGGCGGCACCAGTGGGTTCGATGCAGAGGCAGAAGTCGACTTTCCGAAATGCGCTCGTCTGAACAAGGTCCGGGAGGGTGTTTGCACTCGTGCTAAAAAATAACGCAAACAGATGTCAGGATTACTCCAGAAATAATAGATAGGACGACGACAAGCAGCAAGTACACACCACGGAATCATGTAGACAAGTTTGCCCGTCGCTTGGTAAAACTCCGGTACCGCTAGATTGATGACGTGGTGATGAAGACTGGTGTTCCAGCCCGCCTCGTCGAACTCATAGTCGCGACACATCTTGGCTCTGGACACCATCTCCGTCACCTGCTGTGTCGTGGGAGTCGGTCCCAGAACGCGTCGGGACAAGCCATCGGTTGTGCTGACGGAGGCGTCGTCGAAGTAGAGCGGATATCTGATCTCTTCCATATCGGGACAAATTCTTTTCGCCTCGTCGATATTCTCCTAAATGCCCGGCGGAGGGTTAGCCTGTGTGCTTCAGGCAGGGTAGAAGAGCAAAGGTTCGATCAGGACCGAAAGTCCCGCAGGGTTCCATTACCTTTTCCAAGAAATCGATTACGCCCACTCCCCGGGAGTACTCTCTTATCCGTTTCCATATCTTGCGCAACGATGAGGGAGCGTTGGCGCTCATGTCGAAATGTCTTACCCTATGCGGGTTTCGATCTGTCCTCCTGCGTCTCTTCGTCGGCGATCTAGACCCCGTGGAGCTACCCGACAGCTGGCTACTTGCATCGCTAAGCACCGGCATTCTCTGTGGGAGACTCGCCCTTGGTGTTGCTTCCAGGCTGGTGGCAGAAGCGTGGCCATCTGACGAGGTTGAGATGCTATCGGATTCGTCACCCAGTTGCGCCCGTTTGAGTGGGGATGATGGTGCCATGTCTACGGAGTCGGGCGGCGTAAGAATTCGGTGACGTTTCTTCGTCCTATTTTGCACGACCGGCGCACCGGCTTCGAAGTCGGTTGTGGAAGGCTCGCCGATGTTGTAGGGGAGGGAGGTGAGCCAATTCCTGACGAACCTGGTGGGAGTGTCGTCGAGGTTTGGGATGGATGCGCTCATCGGAAATGATGGGAAGCGATGAACATACGGCTTCGATAGACAGACTTTGACTTCTCGTAATACTCGTATGCGAAGAACACGTCGTCGAGACGAGCAGATGGTGGCTCGAAAGGGAAGAAGAAGTGTTTCCGACCAAGTTCCCAAAGTTGATGTCTTGGGAAAGCATGCCTGTGAGAAAGGCCCCCAGAAGATCAGATTGCCACAGCAACCAATGGACGAATAGGGCTGATAAGATCGGGACGCAGCTGATAGGCTCGCTGAGCTTGGACCAGCACAGATTGCCGCTTGTTTTCTTGCACGGCTACCGAGGCCACGTGCATTCAGCAAGAACCTCCAATCTCACTACTTAACTCTGGCAAACATGGTTTTGAAGGTTGAAACTACTACCTTCCTTTAAAACACAAGTGGCAAGTGGTGTCAGTGAGATGTTTTGGCTACATCAAGCTTCGTCGTCAGTACGAAACTCAACTTACGCATTCTGTTGAAATCGTTGCGGCCACCCTAGTCTTTTTCACCATAACGCTTGGTCCGTGCATCTCCGCGGCTGAGTACGCAATCCAGCGTTCAGTGTCAAATAAGGCGCTGACCAGAGGGCAAACGAATGGGGCGAATATGTAGATAATCATGCGAGCCCTGAATAGCTTAGCTGGGGCAGAATAAACTATGTATGTATGTATGACCAGAGGGCTTGAAGCCACCTGCCGTATTCGCTATAAGCCCTCCAGAATTTGCCATGTTCTGTGTGCCGACTGTGGGAGCGGCCATCTTTCGAAACGGGTGTAGGAAGTACGCCGTCTCCTGCCATCCGCTGAGCAGTGCGAGCAGCCCGCGTGGGACTTCATCTAACGGGACTCTCGTGAGAACATCTGCGTTTTTTGTCGGCCATGGAGCACTGCACGGTTATCTATCTGGAAACAGCTCTTGTATCCCTGCCTCGCCGATCTGTGCTGGTCGCAATAACTCTGACCGCTTTGTCTTTCTTCCGCGTGGGGTTTGGCCAGAGATATGGAGTGGCTGAACCTTCAACACAGACGGACGAAGTCTACGGAATCAGGCTAATTTCATTCAGCTGTGCTGCTATGCTACTTCAATTAGGTCTCTGTAGCATTACTCCACTCAGAAGTGACCACGCCCTGCGCTTCTTGCCCTTTTATCATCCCCGCCTCGCACGCGGGCGCGCGAAGGGGCCATTCTTGACAATCACCACGAGGCGCATCTTCGACTCCACCTTGGCGAGGTCGACTTCTTGTCCCTCCCACGCACACCCCCTTCTCACAATTCATCTCTCGAGGGCGCCGGATACCCGGCAGTTTTCAGTTTTCAATTTTCGGGTTTCCAGGTGGAGGCTTCCTTTTCTTTTGCTCGCTTCAAGCACGAGGGAAACAAGTATCGGTGCCTAGTTTCCATTTCCAACTCTCATGAAGACAATATCCAGCCGACCTCGGTTCTTTGCCCGCCGCCTCCAGCCATTTTGCCTCGTCCTATCCATCAGAATATCATGCCTGCGGATGGCACGGTTCAGTCTGATGGTATGATGCCCGTGCCGGACAGGTCGAGCAATCATACACACCACCGACGTCAGTCCTCGCTTTCCATCCGCCCAGATAGGCTTGATGATGGCGGTCATCATGACGGACGACATTCGACAGACTCGGCCATTGATACTTCTGGCCAAGTTGGCAAGATGCAGAAGTACGACATGCCTCCGGTCCAATATGAGATGTTGTCCAAAGACAGGCCCGATGTGGACCAACAATCAGGCCTCGATGAGATTCAATTTTGTCACACTAGTGTGCAGCGAGCCTATGAAACCCGCATCCAACTTCCTCCTGTTGGCGTCGGAAGTATACGAGGACCTTCTGGCCAACTGGACCACATCGAATCCCTTTTCTTTGCGATCTGGAAGGTGTCGGCTGCAGCACTGCTCTATACCCTGGCTGTCCTCAACAGCGCGTCTCAGCATCATGAGGAAGCTTGTGAGACTTCATCAGCTACCCAGAAGTACATTCAATATCTTTATCATTTCGACGTCTTCACTGGTATGTCCTCTACACCCCACACTGCACCGGAGCAACCTCACCTTCTCTGCGACTCTGCCTACCCCGAAGCTCAATCCTAACCAGGGAAATTTAAGATGTACGATCGACTAGGCAAGACAAATCTGCGCAGATCGCTGTTGACCCGACAAGATCAATTGAATGACGGTACCGTCGTGAAGGGTTACGCAACTCTGTAAATAAGCAATTAGAGTCAACTATGCGTCTCAGGCAGGCGATACAGCTACGGGAGTGGGTGAAAACATGGATGGTCTCAAATGGAGCAACTGCAGACGAGGAAAGTAGTCGTTCGGACAGATCAACAAGGATAGTATTTACGTATCGAATGTAACACTCCATATCGTCCAGACATTTCCGGCGACGGTGAAGGCTTTGAGGAAACCTTTGGTACACATGAACAAATGTACAAGGAGAGGCGGCGGTAGGCTTTGAAAAGGCAAATCAACTGCTCGCCTTTGGTTGGTATTCATTCTTCGACTCATCTTTCATGCCTTTCTGGTTTCTTCCGTCGCGGCTATTCTGATCAATTGTCATCATTTAATGCGGGGAAATCTCACGATGACCTCGAGCATCAAAGTCAATTGGACGGTGGTTGCTCCCCAAATGCATTCTGGGCGTGGAGATGGTATTAATGCGAGACTGCCATCAAAGACAACTCGAGGCTCCTGGTGGTCGATACCCATCTCCGCAGTCACCTATATCTGTCAAGGACCGAAACCGCGAGAGCGAAGCCTGAGCGGGACTTCAAGGTTCTTAGATACTCTACTGTTAGCAAGAATAGGTGTTCGTGCTTGCGTTTTCATGTCGGAGATCGTAGGATGAATACGGAAAGGGAAGATAAATCATCCAGCACCCTGAACGAAGGCGTCGTGAAAGCCATAAGGACACTATGATTCCTGGCTCTTTCAAAAATAAAGCCCATCCAAGGGAGTGTCGGTAGCTGAGAAGCGGAAGAGGCCGGCTAGATGTGTATTGGGCCGTGGAGACATCCTCGCTCACAACAGACTTGCCTTCCTGAAACCACATCATCAATCGTGTCCACCGAGAGCCGAAACATTCCACAGCACCCCTGGCTAAAAACGAGAGAGAACAGGCAAAGAAGGGTGAGCGACCAGCGATAGCCATTAAAGATGGGCATACACTCAATCCGGGAGCCGACGTCACAGTGGCTAATAACAAACCATGTTTCCACCCTCCCCAGCCTGTGTCGCGGGCACGTGAGCGTCACAATAATTGCTAGTGTTTAAGATAGCCACACTCCACCTCCTTTGAATTTCAGATCCCACATCCTTGGTTTTCTTGTTTTGCCCTTAGAAATTTCTAGCAGGTCAACTCTCTTCATCCCTACATAAATGATCGACCTCGACCTCTCAGCGCCAACGACTATCGCTAGAGCTTGTGCTCTTCATCTCCAGAAAGTAAAAAGAAGTCGTTTGTTCAACTATAAGCCCTTTGGCTATCTGGCAATTTTAGTCACGCTTAGAAACTTATCGTGTATTACTCGAAGCAGACACCTGTCGGTTGCGATCTGTCAACAGCCAGTGTCCACTCGACTGTGCTATCTGAAGTACTTTGAGCTTTACCTCGACAGATAGTGGCCATCACCCTCCAGCTCTGCGCATCTTACCCTCTCTATCATTCATGCGCCCCGTCGCTTGCTCCCCTTGCTGGCTCCACGGGTCCATAGCAGACCCAACCGTCACAATTTCTTCTCAACTATGCATCAAGTCTTTGCTGTCTCCTGCCTCGGACTCCGATGACGCACTCACAGCGCTCCCTACTCAGGCCACGCCAGGAGAATACCTCTACAACTCTCGCCGTAGCAAAGCCGGCAGGCAAGCAAGCTCCGGAAATAGCCAAACCTCAGGGTTCCATCGTGCCCGACGGTGATGACTCGAAGGCGACCTCGGCGAGAGGCTCAAGTGCCAAAAGACCCTCTAGAGCTATGCAGCCGCCGATGAGATCTAGCATAGCTTGTTTGAGATGCAGGAAATCCAAAACCAAATGCGACAGCGACCACACCGGATCACCTTGCGACACATGCATCAAGGCAGGACATAAGTGCGAGTTTCCTGATCCAAAGCCTCTTCCGGCGAAACGATCAAAGCCGCCGACTGTGCCGAGGCAGGTAGTGGAAGTCGGGCATGTCCGGAAGCGAGTGAAGAAGCTCGAAGATGCAACGTCCTCTGATGGACGTACTGCTGCTGCACTTGCTCAGGAAGTCCTTTCAGCAACCTATCTTACCGTCGATTAATGGCATCAACTCTTCGACATTTTTAAGCTGCACTTCGCTACCGAACTCCTGTTTTTGCATCTCCCAATTCTCAAGAGCGTCATCCACAACAAGGAGAGCAAGAAGCCGTCGACCGAATCGAATCTTATCCTGCTGGGCATTTTGACTCTCACTGCAAGATTTCATCCCGACTTGATCAAATATGCGGCACATCTCACACACGACAAGATCGCGGACCCCAAATCTCGCAGTGCTCTAATTATCCAAGTCGGAGCCGCCAATGGCCTCAGAGTACTTCTCAAACGCTCTGACAAAGGCACTAGGAGAACTAGAATCAGCTCTGACATCAGCTACTGTCGTCCGCGTTCAAGCTTTCCTCATGCTCGGCTTGTACAAATGGAGTCAGCCGAACGGCGGCCTGGCTGCGTGGATGTATGTTGGCGGCTCAAGGCTTGAAATTGGGTTTTGAAGACAATCCTTTGGGCGGCAAGAGAATTTTGGTCATGTATCCTCGCTCGAGTAAATCGGCTCAATTACCCTCAGACCGTTGGATAGACCAGGAGATCAGGCGCCGTACTATGTTCAGCTGCTTGATACTGGATCGTCTTCTGTCTTGCGGATCTGATCGGGTTTCTATGGTTCGGTCCGACGATCTTCAAATTCAGCTGCCATGCACCGAGCATGTCTTCGACCACGGCCGCGTTGTCTACACCGGATTCTTACAGCAGGTGGAACATGGCATAGAGCTGCCATTCAATGACAGCGTCTTGAGACGATTTGTACAACTGGCTGATGTCTGGGGCGATATCACCAATACAGTGTCGAGGGCGGCCGCCCTGAGGAATCGCTGCCGCCGTGGAACCAAGAGTCGACTTTCTACCAGCTATGTAAAAGAGTCGATGATTTCTATAAACATCTTCCGGAAGATTTCACCTGGTCCAGCGCGAACTTTTGGGGACACAACGACAGCGTGTACATATCACTCCATATGCTGGGTGCTCCCTGCAAAATCATACTGCATCGCGAATGCATCCCGTTCATCGCCATCAAGTGTTCTAAGCCGACTGGCCCTCTGGGTGAGTTCGTCTCCAACACTAGAACTGTTCTAGAGAGCTTTTGGGAGCGAAGCGCGGAGCAGGTTTTCAAGGCTGGCAGGGAAATCATCGATCTCGTATCGTTGTGCCGAGATAGACTCCCTCATTCGTCACTGGTCATGTTCGCGATCTGGCAAGCAGCCTCTGTGGAAACTTACTCATGGCACTGTCCCCGCATGGATACTCAGAGTCGTATGGCCAGCAAGCGTGAAAGCGAGGAACGGAAATCGGGGGGCAGATCTGAGAGAGTGCAGACAGGAATTGTTAGCATCGCTCTCCAAGCATTGATCAAGGTTGCACCTTTCTTTAGCATGGCCTCCAAGTACGTCACGTTTCTTGAGAAAATGGATCAATTTCTCTAATGTGGCGGCTTGTTAGAACCTCGGAGGCTCAAGATCGACAAGACTCTGAGCAGCGACATCAATCTGGAACACGACTAGCCAACAGCCTACGACGACTCCGATGGAGACGAGAATCCCCAAACTCCGGCCTTCTTGCCATTTGAAGCCGTGATGGCTATTTTGAACGGAGAAAGACTCACCATCGACTCTGTCGTGATGGCTTCAACCATCCATGGCCTCACCGCACGTCACGTGACCTCGGTTACATAATCACCGAGGCCCACTTCACTTGCACCCTCTATATCAGAGCGAGCTTCGTACCTATTTCCTATTTCCAATAGACAACCGTTCTCTTTTACTTATGTCGATGCCCCTATGGTGACTATACGACAGATCCCTATCCAAGTTTACTCTCTGAAGACAACCAAGAATCTACCGTTCGCCACGTTCGAATCCACTTGTAACACCCTTCTAAAGTGGCTATTGGGTGGTATTTGCATGTGGTGTGTTTGGAGACCATGTAAATGATCACGTGAACAAATGGCCAGCAAGATGTTAGGTGTAGTGGGCGGTAAAGATTAAAGCTGGAACCGCTAGATGGTCTAGAGGATGTTGCAAAATTTGGTCAGGCGCCCGGGTCGCCTACTCTAGAAAAGCTCTTAATGGGGTGTTGATACAAGAGCTGCTCCGTGGTTGAGAACTTTGCAGGAGGGAAAGTTGAAAAGGTGGAAAACCCAAGAAAAATAACTCTATGGAAACAGTTAGGATATCCACTGATACTATGGTTCAATACTGTGTACGAGTACCGGGAACCGCCCGAGCGATCAGCAAAGGCAGAAAAGAAAAACAAATACAAGGGCTGGATAGTTGAGGGCGGAACTCAGATGTATTGGGTGTTTGTCCCACGAGATTTTGTTTGCCCGCCACAACACATGCTACACATCTGGTGTCTGGGCCAACAGCCGACCCGCCCCGGACGTTAATCCATAGCGCCCTACTTCGCCAGTGACCAGCTGTCTCCGAATCTAGACAAGAAAAAAACAAGATCAACAGCAGTGAGAACAAAACTTGTGAAATCGGAGCCAAAACAGCGCCACAACACGCTCCGGAAGGTCAATTGGTTACCGGCGTGCTCGTCGCGAAGCCCATAACAGCGTAGGCACCATGGCAACCCCGTGGCCCCAGGAGCAACTATGGCCAACGCATCATCGAGAGCATGCCACCCAGCCTAACAGACACCTTCAGACAGCAGTCAAATCAATCGATACCGCAAACGGACAATTCAAGTTGAAAGCTTGGCGGGGCGCGAGGTCGATTCTCCGGACGGAAATGTAATCCAGACACACCTCACCCCGTTGGTTGCCGCATGCAGCACTTAGCTATGCTCGTAGCTGACATCGGGGCCGGGGAGGCGTGTGCCTGCGCCCCTGCCCTTCAAGACCCTGTGAGTGCACTCTTCCGATCCTTGTCGGTGCATGGTGTAGGGGCAAGGTGGGCGGGCGCACACGCGACGCCGTCTCGTCTGCGTACCTCCTCGCGGTGTGTACAAGCCGTTTCTCTGCCATCCGCCTGCGAGCTGAGGTCCCATGCGGAGACAAGGAAACTCTGATGGAGCGCGGTCCCATTTCACGCGGGCTCCAGCCATGCAGGCAGCATTGTGCATCGGAAGGTGGACACTCTGTGCGCCGCAAGGGATAACCCCGAGCATCTATGGTAGCGGGATTTCTCGGGCGCACACATCTCGACTGGTACGAGTGTCATATCCCAGGAGTGTGGCAGCTGGATAAGCACGATGGGTGCGCAAGCCAACCGAACTCCTTTCGTTGCCTGCGTCTCTTGGCGCAGAACCGAGAGGGAGCTCCCGGAGGCAGGATGAGTCGATTGATGCACGGGCAGAAGGCGCCTGGCAAGCATGCGACCTTCTCTTGAGGACGGCTATTCCGCACCCACATGAAGGCTATCCCGCACCCATACTAGGCCTACTCAAGCAAATAGTGGGCTACACGTGACTGCACCGCCGCAGCAGCCACATTGGGCGCGCGCCTTCCTGTTGTTTCTGTTTTGACGCGTCTTTTTTGTCCAACACCTCCTTTTTCAGTCACTTTTGAAGCAGGATAAGTACCTTTGTGAGTACCTAAATATGGGCTCTAGAGAAGTATTTCCCCTGAGCAAAGACTAGCTTTTAAAGTCGTGGTTTTGATTCTGAAAAGCGCGCTGTAGAAGAGGGTAAAGTGGAAGGTGTAGCAGTGGAAGGTGTAGCAGTGGAAGGTGTAGCAGTGGAAGGTGTAGTAGTGGAAGGTGTAGTAGTGGAAGGTGCAGCAGAGGAGGCTGCGCCTTCCTAAGAAACTGCCGGAATAATAGAGATTCCGGGTCAATTGTGGCTACTGCGGCGGTGCAGTCACGTGGAGGTGCGGGATAGCCTTCATGTGGGTGCGGAATAGCCGTCCTCCTTCTCTTGGACTCCTGCTTTTTCTTTTCGCGGGCCTTTTCTTCCTCGTGATATAAATGGTCAAATGCCATGTCCTTCTGACCGAACGTCTCATCGAACTGGAGCAGTACTCTTGCTCAAGCATTGTCGTTTGCTCAGCAACTTCATATGAAAATTCGCCAGCGCCGTCAAATGAGCGTCTATCACGAACGCTTCGAAAATCGTGACGAAGCCGATAGTGCTGCAGAGCGATTACATGGGTCCTCATGCTCCTGTGACCATCTACGTATCTCCAATAGATCAGTAGCTTATCTCCGCACTCGCCCATGGCCAATTTTTTGTTACCGGTCAGAGCATCGACCGGGAACACTGGGAGATTGCTGTCTTGTCTCAAATTGTCGATCCCGCCGACGTTCTACACCTAGGTGATCACGGAGCTTCCCTCGAAAGACCTCCACGATGCTCAGATACGTCGATGAAGCGGGCTATGCTGAGTTATCATCTCTGGGTGAGGACACCACAGCCCGAAAGCACACTGCCTTTAGCCGGTTGATCCTGATTCCAGATAGAAGCCCTCACCCGACGCCTGCTGCCGATTCTATGGCGTCCTCGCGTTATGCAGGAAGATTCTCGATAGCGGCATGGTCGCCATACCGATTCTTGAAGAGAACATCTATCTTTCTCTTCAGGACAGGTCTCTGACTCCATTATACGAGGACTCCATCGAGCTACAATTTGGTTCCCTTCTCCATATCATCCTGGAGTCAGTACATCGAGCTGCCATGTGGCCCAAAGATCACCGACGGGTTCACTGCCCGGTCAAAGCAGGCGCTTCTCTGTGTCTCGATGTCACCTCTCTCACATTGCATAATGAAGTTCAGGCCTTCCTTGTTTTTGTAGATTGAGCGGGCGGAATATGGGGTATGTGTAATCGCCCAGATCAGATGTCGTCTTTCTCCTGGGGCTGGTGGCGAGCTATTTACCTTTAGGAACCATGAGCGAAATGCTCATCTTCATATGAGCCTTCTTCTTGTACCTTCTTGGAGGGTTCCTCTTATTTTTCCTCCGTTATGTCAAGTTGGTGATGTATTGTGTAGGCTTTGGGGTACTTTGAATGATGACTGCACAGTTCAAGTCATGACAGTAAAGTTGCGCGGCGCAAGTCTACCTTCTAGACGCGTGACAAGGTTCCGGTTGCCTATTGCGATAATGTACTTGATTGATCCAGATTACTGGACCACAGACTTGGTTTCACATGAAAATTGAGAAACACTCTGGTAAATTGTGTTTTGATGCGAGTGTTGGGTCTCCGGACATCCCAAGAATCGAGAATGACCCGGCTTTGACAATCGTTCGCCCTGCTAAAGTGACCTGCGCCCTTACCTCTGCCCATCCTTCTGACATGTCATCTTGGGATAGAACAAGGGACGTGGTATGGCCCTGAGCTTGTGTTTCTACGAGGCTCATATGATTATGGAAACCAGCTTGGAGGTTTGGAAGAAAGGTACGGAGAGATGTAAGCCAGGTAGTGCATCCAGAGGCTCGTCAATACATTTCGGTACAATGGCATCGTTTCTTCAGCGCCAGCAGTAGATGGCAGATGGCAGAGCTTTCATTTTATCGGCTAAGAAAAACCAATATTTCAAACCCGCCGCTAGGATCTCGTCTGACAATTGGTACTCGAGTTCGCAAGACCCACGTACCCGTTGCCGCTGCATTTTACAGGTTTCTCCCTATTCACGCCTGGGCATTTTCAGGATGTATCTTATGAACTAAGACACGCCTGTCTTGTTGTCTAAAGCTGGTTGCTAGTACAGGACAGATCAAGAAGACACTGTAGCCCTGTGCTGGCTGGACAGCGTCGGGCTCGCCGGCCCAGGCCGTCCGGGAGTAGCTACCACATCAGGCTAAACATTGCAGGAATCGTGGCGATGGCAATGGCGGCATACTTCTGTTCAGATTTGGAGCGCTAGTAGGTCTTGTTCCCATTGGAGAATAATCCCCTGCCCTGAACTAGAGGACTTCCCAGGTCTCCGATATCTACCTCATACGTGACCGCCATGAAGCTTCGCTGGCTTTGTCTGTCGATTTCGTAGCTCTGCGTCAGTTCAAAAGCATTCTCTCTTAGAGAATCAAGATAGAAGTTTGTACTTCTAATAAAATTGTAAGTTTCTAATAATTGTAACAAAGTTGGTATGGATAGTATGTTTTATACTTATACTGATCTAGTCTAGTTCTAGTCATACTAGTACTAGACTCGTATCTTTTATAGTGGACTGATATTAGAGTAACTAGTACGAGACTAGACTGATACTAATGTGAAGGTCACGGCTGTAGACAGCAGGTTCAAGTAGTAGGTTTGTGGTGACCCGTAGGGTCAGGTCTAGATACAAGACGTAACGCAAAGAAGAGGAAAGAGAGATCGCGCTGTGCGAGCAGCGCGTCGCCGCAAGAAAAGGGTCCATGGCTTCGCCATGACTTGTGATATCTTTGACACCACCCTGGCACGCGATGCCGTGGCAACTAAATACTACTAGTACTTTGCCCAACTCTGGTCGCGACACAGAGTACCTTTTGTAATTTGCCGTACCAATGGAAAAATAAGCGGAGGACAAACACCGGGCAAACGGCCAATAACTGACGGCGTGACAAAACCTAGGATACCCTCGCTTAGGTGAACTCACCGCATACAGTCATTACTCAGTTGACCACATAGTCGGGCCAGGACTGCCCTACAAGGGATAGATACCACTCGTTTATATAGATCTACTGCAGGCCCAGCAGATAACTCTAAGCAATACAACCATACTTATCCCCATCCATTATGCCACTGCTGACCATACTTAATATCTGTCACGGCGCCTCATGAACGGCTGAACGCCGGAGTGCTGTGCCGCTTATAACCTGAAAGGCCAGGCAGATCAATATGGGTGAGAACGTTCCTGGATCGGCGAATTTCAATAGTTTCTCCCTCCCGACCTTATTTAATACTCCGTGTGCCTTGACCAAAAAGTTTCTCAACGTCAGAATCATTGCAGCTCTTTCCGCTCCTCCCTTTTCGCTTTTCGCTCGTCGCTCTTTTTCTTCCAACAGATCCCGTTTCTTATGAGACCGCCCCATACACAAACATAGCTGGAGGCCGAGGACAAGGATGACGGCAACAGTATCAGCATCGTCACCATCAGATGGCCGAACCAGGAATGGCGAGGTAAGCGAAGGCATGGTAGAATCCGCGCCAGCGTCCGTGACTGATGCCGTAGGTAACACCAAGCAGCCCGGCTTCGCCAAATCGGAACTGCACGGCTTCAGGCTATACATGGTTCTTATCGGCGTCTGCTTCGGCGCCTTTGCCATGGCTCTCGATGTCTATGTCAACGGAACGGCTTGTCACTCTGCCAGTACACACACGAGCACACACACGCACACGCACACACACACACACACACTCGCGCGCTCTCTCTCTCTCCCTCTCGCTATCTCTTCCCACTTGAGGAATTGTCTGACTTTGCTCTTACCTTGGCCATTCCCTCCATCACATCCGACTTCCAGAACACATCACGCATATCATGGTATCCAGCAGCCTACACGTTGGCGGTCTGCTCGCTGACCCCCTTGGCGGGCAAGATGGCCAACGTCTGCTCGCTCCGCTGGGTTTACCAAGGCTTCTTCGTCTTCCTCGTCGGTAGTGCCATATGTGGCTGGGCCTCCACAAGCGAAATCTTCATCGTCGGCCGTGCCATCTCGGGCATCCGCGCAGCTGCAGTCACCAGTGGAGGTCTCACGGTCTTTTTGTCTTGGTCATATCCTCACCCCAACGTAAGCCGTTGTACATCGGCCTGTGCAGCAGCTGCTTTGCTCTGGGCCTGATTTCCGCCCCCATCATTGGCCACGCTTTCACAGAGAGGGTCACCTGGCGATGGTGTTTCTGGATCAGTCTACCCGGTGGCGCCGTCACCCTGCTTGCCATGTTCTTCTTTTTCAAGCTGCCGCAACGAGAAGACGAGCTCGCGACCACCATGAAGAAAGTGTTGAGTCTGGATCTCGTTGGGTCTTTCATCTTCATCCCCAGCATCTTCATGTTGATCCTCGCCCTACAATGGGGCGGAAACTCGTACCCTTCGAGGTCGATAACCATTATTGGCCTTGTGGTTGGATCAATCGTCATGCTTGGTCTCTTCACTGTCTGGGAGTCGCGCTTGGGGGACTCGGCCATGATCCCTGGTGTTCAGTCACAAGACGCACCATCCTGCTCAGTGTCATGTTCTCCTTCTGCCATCTTGGTGCTCTGTCCGTCTCGTCTTACTATCTCCCGGAGTGGTTTCAGGCAGTCCAGGGCGCTACTCCCTTCGAGAGCGGCATAAGGGTGCTGCCGTCCGTCATGTCACAAATCGTGGGAGCGATTTGTGCAGGTGACATTGGTATGTGCATTCTCAGTCCCCTCGCTCATGTTCCGGCCTCTGACCCGTCACCCCAGCCCTCAAAATCCGTTTTAACGACCCTTGGTTCTATGTCGGGCCAGTTTTGGTGTGCACCGCAGCCGCTCTGTACATCCAGTTCACCGTCTCCAATACCCCATCGAGCCAATGGATCGGGTTCCAGATCATCCAGGGCCTGGGTGTCGGCTTCGCCATGCAGATGCCATCTCTCATGATCCAACTGGCGCTCAAGGACCGCGCTAACCTCTTGCCCATCGGCATCTCACTAAACATCTTCGCCCAATTTCTCGGGGCTACCGTCGCGCAGGTCATTGCCGGTGCTATTTTCCACGCGCGTCTGGAGAGCCAGCTTGCCTCGCGAGCTGCGCTGTGTCACGACCAAATACGATTACTTTACCGGAGCGGTGTCGCCAACGTGCGAGCCATTGTGGACCAATACTTTCCGTCGCTGTTCGACGCCATCATGGAGTCGTACCACTCTGCCGTCGCTCAGACACATGTGAGCCCCCCATCTTGAAGGCCCGACTTCTCGCTCCCGAGCTCGCTAACAAGTCGCTGGAAAGTTCGTCGCCGTTGCCTCAGCGGTTGTGGCTTTTTCCCTAGCCTTCGGGATCGAGTGGATTAGAATCGAGGGGTCGGCTATCAAGTTGGGCAACCAGGACAATGTGGAACCGGCAGTCCCGAGCAGGGAGGAGAGGCCATCAGGAGCAACAGGGCATTGAAGCTCGCTTCTCCGTCTTTGAGTCTCGTCCTCTGTTCAGGAGAAACAAAGCTTGATAAGATAACCCGGTTGCAAAACAGCTACCGGGGGTGCAATGTATTAGGGGTTCTTTGCCAATGTTGTATAGATAGAAATGGCTGAGGTCGGACTAATCCTTAGACAGGTGATATCCCTGATGTATCAAAGACTTTAGAAGCCTTTTGACAAGGCACATCTCCTCTTAGCAATGATACACAACGGCCTTTTCCACTACCCAAGGGTTCATCTACGAGGACTATCACTATTTTGTCCATTCAACCAAGTGGTGTGTATTGCGTGTTGTCTTCAGCATTCAGCCTCTCTTCGAATCCATTTTTACCATGATCCCATAGTAAGACGACAGCGTAACAGAAAGACCACTTTCTCTGAGCTGTCAAGTGTATGTCATGGCGCATTGACTCAGCTGCGTAGTCCAGGCGGAATAGGTGACGATACTCGACGTACCAAAGCCACCGGCTCAGCTTCATCTCAATTTTTGTCATGCAAACGCCCCCGCACTCGATCGGATAAGTCTTTGCCTTCGCTCAGGCGGCTGGGCCACGCCTTCAACGTGATCAACCAGGAATTTGCCCGTGGATGTCTGAAGCCAAGCGACGATATGCCTACAAATCTGCATGGGTCGACAATCAGGATACCTGCAATCCCACTCCCGGTGTCCACATCGGAGGAGAACCCGGCGTCTGCCATGACACCCGCTGTATGCACCTCCTGGGGTACCACAGGGCACTCTCTAGCACGGCGAGGTCCGACGCCCGCGCGTGGCGGACGCCGTTTTCTAGAATAGAGCTGTTCATGTTTCGATGGAGCCATTGGTCGTCGTGGTCCTGGGCGTATGTCAAAGGCGTACCTGCCCTTTCGTGGGAAAGATATGTTTCTCGTATTGTCGCCCAGGTTTCTGATGGGCACCAAACGCTCGAAGGAGGCAAGAGCGCAGGGCCAGTTTCTTGGATCATTCCGTCGCGTGGAGGCTACCATGGCGGACACTGTCGAAAAAAGACCCTTCTGGAGACGCTTAACATCACGGACGGAGATGGGTTCGTCGGATACCCCGCGATTGGGCAAGGTGAGCCATTGACAACACCGTAAACGACCCGACGAAGGGCGAGGCTTCAACGGCTACCATGCAGACCCTGGCACCTCGCGACTCGTCTGCAGCCCACCCAATGAGGAATGTGGCCTGGACACCGGCGCGGTTATAACAGTCTCGAGAGATACGCTGATAAGATGAAGAGGGGTGGGTGTGCGAGAAGAGGGGGTGCCAGAGCAGACACTCGTACCTACTGTGCATACAGACAGGTATATGACAGGGATCACGGTCTTGGAACTGAACGCAGGGGGCAAGGTCGGAGGCAACAGGCCAAGACGAGTCAGGGGCGTGAGCTACTCAGCGAAGCACTCACGCTATGTTGCAGTGGTCGCCGAGAGATGAAGACGAGCGACTCACAGCCTGCAGCCTTGTGCGGGCTTTCCTTTGCGCAGGCCGAAAGCTCAAGGCCTGTTCCAGCCGCTTAGCATGTCAAACATGGAAAGATCTCCGTGTCCTCTATCGAAAATCCGGTCTCTGCAGATCGTCCGAGACCGACTCCACCTCATTAGCACGCCTACCTTAGCTCTTCATTCGTCCCGAACGAGCTAGCCTGGCTTTACACTGCAAAGTTAGCATCTTTTGTGAAGTATGTGGTTGTCGTCTCCAAGAGTCGGGTTCGCAGAGCGAGGCGGGCTACTACCTCGGTGACCCGAGCATGCAGTCAAGACCCATCCGATGAAGAGGATGACGAGAGGTATAGAGGCATCTCTACATGTCTTCCGGATGGACTGTCCCTGATGGAGTACGACATTGCCGGGCGGCTTGACAACGAGCCCAATCGGTGCTGCTGATCAAAAGTTGGCGGCCGGCTTGAAGTCACGGACTGCATGACCATGCCGTTTATCGCTCTTTGCGGAAGATCGCAGCAGCACCGCGGCGTCTTGCCCAGAGCCTAGAGCCATCATCGGCTTGCACTGGTCCCTGCTCCCATTCAGGGCGAAACCGACTGCCACCGCCATTCACGGCGTCTCAGACGATGGACTTGCCCTCGGACGTTTTCGTATCCCGCCGCGACTAGAACTCTGGGTGTCTCCTAGCCCCACGCTCACGACGCTCTCAACTTGAGTGCCACCGCTCCGGCTGGAACCTTCAATCCTCCGCTAGGGAGTACATACATACGAACCGAAATCATGGAGGCATCTTGGTGGGGCGATGAGCCGGCGGATCTCCCTAGTATCTTCCAACAATCAAACCTAGAACGCTCAGGGCGATTCGGCTCTAGCAGTGATTCTTTTTCTGTCACCACTTCCGGTTCTGGAGACGTGATGAACGCACCGCCGCCCTTATCACCACCGCAACTTCCCTTCGACAAACTTGACACGCATCCTCAGGAGCCCAGACAACACCACTGCGATTCATACAGCCCCCGAGAGTGCAGTTATCACGACAGCTTAGGAGATTCGCAATACGGATCACCAAGCATGGAGCCCGTTTACAACAACAATGAGGGCTATTTCGACATTGGCTCGTCCTCAGCTTCGGCTTCTACAAGGTTGGAAACCCCAACTCTCTTTTGATGTTTAGTTCGATTTCAAGAAAGGATGGAGCTCGTCGAAAGTTGGTGCCGGTCTGACATCTTTACCTTCACACATTCGAATGCTCCCTGCCTAGCATTTCGGCCGGGTTTGGTCTGCACCACAACCAGTTCCAGTTCCTTTCTAATGCCGATACCCTCGCCAATATGAAGAAGAAGCTCGCGCCTTGGAAGAAATGTGACAACAACGCGCCTAGCTCACACCCGAGTATGTCAAGCACATCGTCAACCGGCGGCTCTTCCCGGAGGAGGCCGTCCGGCGACATGTGCGTCCCCGCGGATATCGTGTCCACCAAGCTGCCGTTGCACCTCGAGACGTCGAGCCTACTAGACTCTCCTGACAGGTACACGCAGGCTCCTCACTCTGCCCTCCCACCTCTTCCGAAGCCTGCCGTTCCATCTCAGCTACGACTATCACTCCCCGTCCTCTCAAACAGGATCAACAGCGACGATGCGCCGTCACACAGTGACAAGGCGGACAAGATGGAAACGGGGGAGACCAATTCTACGAAGAGACTGCGGCTAGAGGACCCCATGAGGACGCACTACGACGGCGCCCGGGCGAAGCGCCGTGCCTCTATGGATCCCGATAACAGAGTACCACTTGCTTTCATAACCCAGGATGACTCGTTTCGCCGCCGCGATGGGAACCAAGGAGGGTCTCCCACGCCTCGACTGAGCGTTATCCCTCAAGGATCCATCTCTTCGTCATCCGGTCGCGCAGGGTGGTACAGCTCTAACCTATCGCTGCTCACCGAGAGCATGGGCTCGTCGTCGTTTAAGCGAGTCTCTCCAGACTGCGTTTCGCCTGGCAGAGCCGATCCCAGCTGCAGCCCTCCTCGCAGCTCTCTTTCTAGGGCACCCCGTCAGCGGGCCCTTAGCGAAAGCCGGCCTCTCACTTCTCCCCGCAAGCTTACGGGGGTGAGCAAGCCTGGGGGAACTACGATTTCGGAGTTCTTCATATGCGATTGTTGCCCGAAGAAATCCAAGGAATTCGAGTCGGCTGAAGAATTGGCGTAAGTACAGATCCCGCAAACTGTGATGAAGTTCCAGCTCACCGTCAACAGGTCTCATCAAGCCGAGAAGCAGTATGAATGCAAATTCTGCGGAAATCGATTCAAAAATAAGAACGAGGCAGGACGCCATGAGAATGGTGTTCATGTTCGCGGACACAGCTGGAGTTGCCCGGACTCGGATCGCTATGATCGTACGCTCCACGACAGTCCCAATCGCCCCGGTGCAGCAGACTCCTGTGGTTACTGCGGTGAGGAGTTTTCTGGAAATGGGAGTGGCCCTGGTGCTTCCGCACCGCGACACGCTACCGACCATGACTGGGGAGTGCGCCTTCGCCACCTCCAAGAAGTCCACAAGGTTGGGGTATGCGACACGAGCAAGGAATATTTCCGCGCAGACCACTTCCGGCAGCATCTGAAGCACAGCCACGCAGGCACAAGCGGCAAATGGACGAACATGCTGGAGAATGCTTCCATGTTGAATGAGGGTCCAACTCCGAAATGAGCTCAACCTGGCAGGCGTGACGTATCGACGAGGGCTCACTAGAAGCTATCATGCGGCTCACACGGTCATACACCGGACACGAAACCTCAAGGGCGGAACCGCGCCTTGGTGTCAACCGACCCAGCTCATACGTCTGCCCACGATCGGCACGATTCGATACCGAGCCGGCGACGCGCAGGGCCCGAAGAGCCTTTTTTTCTTGCTTGAGGTAGCAGAAGCTCTTCGCTCCACTGCCAAGTTAAAGTGTTTCTTGTTAGCTTCATGAGCAGTACAAAAATTCAAGAGCGCTCTATTGAAGCATGCCGGCGGAATTCACAGGTTTTGTGCTGGCTAATTGCAGGCATCCATGTTTTGGAGCTTTTGGACACCGAGTGGTGTCCCTTGGGGCCTTGAACATGAGTTTGACAAATTACAAAGATGATCACCGAAGGAACCGATGGCACAGCTGGATGCAAACGGCTGGTAAGAAATACAAAGATCGATCAAAAGACCTTCACTCGCTCGGCTGCGCCCTCTGTGTACAGCTCCCGCTGAAGTTGGGCAGCGGACCATCACTATTGCAATTGACGGCAGGAAAGGAGAGCCGGAAGGTGTTTAGGTTGCTGCAAACGGCCTCCTACCTACTTACACCTCACAGAGGAATCGTAGGCTCTGACCATCGGCTTCCTCTCATATACACACGCAGTTCGATATACCAATGGTTGCGCTTCGTACCGGCCGGAAGGCTTGTTCTGCTGACGTGTATACCACCAATCACCTTTCATGTGCGCACAGAATGGGGACTTCATCTTTCCCCAAGTTCGGGCCCGTAGACCATCTACCCCGTAGCGAACTCCTGTATATCCTCCAGCATAGCACCAAGCCGCCAGCCTTGGCTCAGTTGCACAAAGGAGTCGATACTGACTCCTTCTGCGTTCAGACTAGCCATCGTGGCTTTAAAGCGTTGGGGGTACTCCGCTGTCAGTGAGTTGTGACAGATGTCTCTGGTAGGACCACGGTGATTCGAACCTTGATAGAATACGTCGTCGAGAGCGGCACAGGATGACGTGTGCCGGAAGTCTTTCCGCTTATTTGTGACAGTCTGCTAGGAAGGCCATGCTCAAGATAAAACGAAGCTATAGTAGCCCGTGTTCCATCGGGTCCGTCGTTAGCCGTTGGCTGGCCGTCGTCCAGAATGTTGTCACTGCTCCGGGTTAACGTACTTGGAGGCCCTACGCAAGTAAGGCGCAACCTTGTTCAATGCTTGGAGAGCGATGCTGACGTTTCCCACCTGCGCGCCCTCGGATTTGGCCCCCGAATTCCGTTCCTCGATGTCCTTGCCGACCATATGATTCTGAGTATCCATGTGAGGGTAGTGCCATGCGTACGTTCCCACAAGGGCTGCTTGCCAGATCGCGAATATGACCAGTGACGAATGAGGTATTTCGTTTCGGCAAAATGATACGAGGTCGATGATTTCGCTGGCAGTGCCAGCCTTGAAAACCTGCTCCGCGCTTCGCTTCCAGAAGTCGTCGGGAACAGTGCCGGGATCGAATGAAAGCTCATCCAAGGGGCCGATTGGCTCGGAGCAATCGATGGCGATGAAAGGGATGTTCTCGCGATGCAGAATTATTTTGCAGAGAGCAACCAACATGTGGAGTGGCACATATCCGCTGCTGCCGTTCTTCCAAAGGTTGGATTTAGACCAGGTGAACGACTCTGGAAGGTGAGCGTAAAAGGCCTCTATCTTCTTACGCAGTCCATAGAAGGTCGACTCTTGGTCCCACGGCGGAAGCAATTCCGTAAGGCGGCCGCCCTCGACACTGTATTTGGTGATGTCGCCCCAGACATCAGCCAGTTGCACGAATTGGCTCAAAAGACTGTCATCGATTGGTCGTCCCACATCCTGCCGTACCTGGCGTAGGAATTCGGTATAGACGATACGGCCGAGATCGAAAGCGTATTGGGTGCATGGCAGCTGGATTTCGAGATCTTCGGACTGAACCATGGAGACCCGATCAGATCCGCAGGATAAGAGACGATCCAGTATCAAGCAACTGAACATGGTACGGCGCCTGACCTCCTGGTCTGAGGGTGGTTGAGCAGATGGACTTGACCGAGGAGACGGCGCCAGGATTTGCTTGCGGGCCAAAGGCTGGTCTCCAAACCCCAGTCTTAGAGCTTGAGCCATCCGTATGGCAACGCCGACATACATCCATGCAGCTAGGCCGCCCTTCGGCTGGCTCCACTTGTGCAAGCCAAGCATGAGGTACGCCTGGACACGGGCGACAGTAGCCGCTGTCAGAGCTGATTCGAGTGGTCCCAGTGCTCTCGAAAGAGCATTCGCGAAGTACTACGATGCTCTAGATGGCTTCGGTCTGGGTAGAGCACCGCGAGATTCAGGGCTTGCGATTTTGTCTTGTGTGATATGTGCCACAAAGTCGACCAAGCCAGGGTGGAATTTTGCAGTGAGAGTCAGAATGCCCAACAGGGTCAGATTTGATTCTGCTGACGGCTTCTTGATGTCTTTATCATGAATGATGCCCTTGAGGGTGGGGAGATGCAAGAAAGGGATCTCTGTAGCGAAGTGAAGCTTATAGATGTTGAAGAGTTGAAGCCACACATCGACGGTAAGATAGGATGCCGAAAGCAGTGCCTGAGTACGCTCGGCCAGATTGCTTTCCTCGGACGTGGTCGTTTCTTCAAGCTTCTTCACTCGCTTGTTCGGATGTCCGACTCTCACTTGTTCCGGCGCGGTTGGCGGCTGTGACCGTTTCGGTGGTCGAGACGGTGGATCAGGAAACTCGCACTTGTGGCCTGTCTTTATGCACATGTCGCAAGTTGATCCCGTATTGTCGTTATCACATTTGACTTTGAATTTTCGGCATCGCAGACACGCTATGCTGGACCGTATTGGCGGCTGCATGGCTCTGGAGGGCCTCTTTGAACTTGAGTCTCTCTTCAAGGGGAGCTTCGAGCCATCGTCGTTGAAAATGATGCTGCGGTATCTGACCTCGGCCGGAGGTTGCCCATCTGTGGGCTCTGCTGTGGGCACGGAGGTTCTCCCCGATGACCAACCGTTTTCTTGCCGTCTACTCTTCGGCTTGATTTCAGTAGAGGACGCCGTGGATGCCCCATTGGAAGCAGACGCAGATGACAGTAAAAACTGAATAGAAAGCTGGGACGATGCCATGGTTGATTAGGCCTGTAACAGGTTCTCAAAGCTGGTGAGAGGTGGTGGACAGAAACCTGAATGGGATACCTGGCACACCAATCGCCAATGAATTTCAGATCTGCGAAGTCTCGCAGCGTCAAGACAATATTTTGGTGGCCGATCGAGTAGAGACAGAGCGACGGGTGAGTTAGAGATGCGGACACAGGCCTACAATGTGTGAAATGGTCGAACGACTGGTGCTAGGCATGCAACAGGGCGTCTGTATGACTGGTACGAACGGTAAGTATAGAGAGTTGTTCTGCTGGTGAAAGATGAGGTCGCAGCGCAGAAATCAGCGGAGGCGGGATTGCAAAAGTCATGGGTTGGGAAACATGGTCGAAATAGAGCCGCCGTGCTGCCAGCCCAAACTGCATGAAGGTGCACCGGGCGTCGCCGGCTATCAAGTCTGTCTCCTTCCTCTTTTCTCGTTGTCACCCTTGGTTCGCTTGGCTTTGCCCCTGTGCTATCTCCATTACCAAGATCTCCCTGGCATTGGCTAGAGTGATAGAATATGGGATAGACATGTTTGTGCTAACCCTTTCGCTGCCAAATAGCAGGCTGCTGGTTGCCCCTCCTTTCCTCTCTTCATGGAATGGCACACATCGAACACACTCTCTATCCCTTAGACGCCTAGTCAACTGACATGCTTCCATTCTCCCTACATCCACACCAAAACACCACCCCGAAGAGCCGCTTGGACTTCGGCGTCGTAGTCTCAGCCTATGGCAACGCTGGTCTCTACTTAACCGACTCTGGCCGAGAAGCACCGTCCCACGCCCGAAGAAAAGGGCGCCATCTTGTCACCTAGTCCTATTGAGAGACGCTCTAGTATACTGCGCTCTTCGTGGGGCGCGTCACGAACTGGATCACACCCAAGGGGCAAACAATGTGGCAATGTCTTACGTTCTCACAAGTTATACTGGCAACGGTACGTCTGCATCTCGTTTACTTTTCTAGACGAATACCACCAATGCTGCCACCTCGTCAGGCCAGCCACATAGAGCGCGAACAATAACAAGTCATCATGCGTGAGAGGCTTTGAATATTGTGACAACGTTATCAGACTACCAAAAGTTCTTCCTTGGGGCCTTGCAACAAGATAAAAGAAGATTGAAACCGAGTAAAAAGAATAAGGCGCCAACAAAGTACAGGCGGTCTTCGAGCGGTTCGGCGGAGTTCAGAGCTTGCCGCTATCGCTCGTTATGTCGGTGTTCGAGTGCACAGAATGTGAGCTTGATTCTCCACCGCCGCCGCCATCAGGAGAGGCTCTCCCTGCTGACCTGCTTTGGGATTTGTGGACCGTTTTATGCTCGATCGAAATCGTCAGTCCTGCCAGATTAAGAGGTCTTTCAAACGCCTTCTATCTTGTTGACCGTCGTTACCAAGCCTAGTCAAGCTGACGACGCACAGTGACTGTCTCTGGAAGTTTTCTGCAAGGTTGTTCATCCCGTACGAGACCGACATCGTCCAAACTAACCTGCCGTGCCATTCGCAGATTCATCCAGAAAATTGAACCATTCCTGGATGGCATTTTGACCAAGAGCAACCTTCGGTGCAGCAGCGCCTTTCTTGACGTGAGCCTGAGGTTGAGACAAGTGACTAGCACCAGTCCGATTATCTCGGCGAATGGAGCACTGCTGGAAGTGCTCCTCGAGATCGTCTCTTCGCGAGAAAGCTTCGCCACAAAGCACACACTCGTGGGGGAATTTACCCGTTTCTATTCATGTTCCTTGTCAGGAACGCGCCTTCTTGAATGTCTCGTTGCAGTCAGGGCAAGGATACTTGCCATCAGCATCGTTGACAGGAATCACGGTGCCCTTGGTGTTCCCAGCGCCGGCGGAAGTAGCGGCAGGGCGGCCAGGAGCGCTGGGGAAAATGCCACGGCGACCCTGAGAGCCGACCACGTGAGTAGGCTGGTCAACCTCACCCACGCCACCGGCCATAACAGCTCCAGGGCCGTAAAGAGAGTTCATTCCAAACTGGGGCCTGACACCACCAGCGGGTATGGGGTACAAGTGAGGGGAAACACGTCCAAACGCTGGGTCAAACGCGATGGGCTGAGGATGAGAAGAAGCCATCGTGATCTGGGGCTGCGTAGATTGAGTGCCATACGCATGGGGCGAGGGAGGGTACTGGTGTGTCTGGTGGTAAGGACCGCGAGGCTGCTGCTGTTGCTGCTGCTGCTCTCGAGGCGGGTATGGCGACATGTCGTTCCGGGCGTCAGGAGTGGTAGGAGTCGCAGAAGTGTGAGGAATCGCAGTTTATTGAGGCGGCAAGAAGGTAGTGTACTGGGCCTGACGAAGCGTCATGGCGCGGAGATGTTGCTCCGGACAAACAAGAGAAACTCAGATGTAGTGATGCCCAGTCGGGAGTTGCTCAGGATCAACTCGCCGTCAGACGAAGGGTGGATAATGAGTGGCAGAATGGGGCTCCGATTAATCCTATCGAACGTTGTCTTGCGAGGTGTCGAGAATAGGGCAGAGGCCCGATCCTTTTATTTTGTCTATTTCCTCATCTGTGTCTTGAAGCTGGAAAAATTGAAACTAACCCTAGCAACTTGATCAAAAAACTAACATCTGTCTGGCGCCGCCAAGAAAGAGATCAAAGGAAAGGGGTGTGCATGGAAGGGAGGGTGAGAAGACAATGTCGACCTTGCCAGGGTGTTGTCAAAGGTGTGCCTGTAGGCACTCTTGAGCAATGCTAGAGGGTGCCGTCCCTTCAGAGATGGGTAGTCCTACAGCGACCTAGCCGGAACAGCAGAGCAACACAGCCGGAAGATCGAAGCCTGTACCCGTAAAGTCGTTCCGTCTGTGCTGAAGGTCTAGCCACTCCATATCTCTGGTTGAACCCCACGCGGAAGAGGGATGGAGCGGTCGAAGTCGTTGTGAGCAGCACAGATCGGCGAGGCAAGGATGCGTGAGGTGCTCCGTTGCCGACAAAAAGCGCAGATGCCCTCACAAGAGTTCTTCTGGACGAAGCCTCACGCGGGCCGCTCGCACTGCTCCGCGGACGGCAGGGAACGGCGTACTGGAGCAGGGGTGGTTGGTACCTGACTGTATCGGCCAGCCACCTTGGTTCGTCGCCATACGAGGCTAGCGTGTGGGGGATACCCACCATGCGCATGCGATGCGATGGGACTGGGGGGAGGGGTTGGAGTATTCCTGCACATTCGGGGCGTGGGCGTGGGTAGGGCGTATGCATGCCCCGTGGCAGCAGGGGTCGAGGGTACTGAACGGCTGGTGTCGGCCTAGCAGTCGATGAAAGGCCCACAATGAAGCGCGAATCACTGTCCCGACAGCGCTAACCACTGGCGCGCGGATCATTGGCCATCGCAACGACACTGTCAAACAAGAGGTAGCTGACCTGACGTACGACACATCAAAGTCGGCGAGCGCACCAAGAGGACAAGCACAGAGCGCAGGACCCGGTGTCGACGCTGCATCGAGGCAGCCATGCCGATCGTGGCGCTGGCTATCCTGCACTCTCCTCGCGCCGCCGGGCAAGCTTCCCCGAAGCGCGACCACGACTCTAGCCAGTTGGCGGTCTGCCGGGTTCTGACAATCAGCCAGACGCGGACAGTCCTGCAGGAGCCACCGGCTTGAGGCGAACTGAAGCCGGCATTGCCTTGGCATGTCCTCACGCTGTTCGCAGATGAACCCATGCGACTTGGAGGGTGGAGCGTGAAGCTACTGGAGTAGCACCCTGTGAGTGGAGGACTAGCTTTCACCCTCGTCGGATGCCCTCAGGGGGCCAACGAGGCACTGACAATATGCATACGGCCGGCTGTCTGGCGTCGTTACTCCCACTACCAACAGCCAGTTGACGGGATTCGGCGCTAGGTAGACGAAGAACCGCCTCACCACTTAGATGCGCGATGGCCCTTTCCGCGGATCGTTGTGCTTCCTTCAACCCTTGCGTAGCCCACTGATGGCACTCCTCGTCGTCAGTCATTAACAGAACTCCAAATATGTTGGTGGCTGACCTGGCTCTGTGCATTCCGGTCGCAACCCTCGTGTGGGCTCTGTTCACTGTTCCGATGGACAAATACGTGAGCGCAACGCAGATCGTGCATTCGCGGCCAGGACCAACCATGCTGATTTGTTCTCAGATGAAGCTGTTCGTTTGTGCCGCCTGCGTGGTCGTCCTTGGAGGCGTGGTGCTGGCGCTGACAATGCGCCTGGCGGTTCGGTGTCCCTCCTGCCTGCGGTTGATTCGCATGTCCACCCTCGCTGGTGGTGGGCTTGTTCACAGCGAGGAGCTGCTCCCTAGGGATCTTGGTGACCCCACCCTAGGTAAGGTCAGAGACGGTGGAAAGCCCCGGCCAGGGTACAGAACGTGTAGGGTATACTCCCTGAGCCAGTACAAGAGTTTTCATGACGCTCAGAGCACTCGAAAGGGTCCCGTTTCCTTAGTACTTCCTATGTCATGCTGAAACCCCGTAGAGGAAGCAGCTTGCCCAAGGCCTTTCCCGACTCATTACCAAAAAAACTACTCGGGGGGGCCTTGAAGATGTAGCAAAACCGCTTACCGGACGTTACGCTGGCTTCCACTTCTAGCGTCCCCATATCGGCGCAGTCCAGAGGCGCCCCATATCATTTCGAATCGCTAAATGGTGATGGCCCGGTAACGAGGTTGACAGGCACGATCCCGCCGTGAGTGAAAAGTTGATGAGGTCGCGATAGTCTCTAGGTAACCAGTTTAGGGAAGCGAGTATTGCCTATTGTGTCATCCTCGAGACAGAATGCTTCTCCTCAGCATCTTATAGTCAGCCAAAACTCGGTACCACACCGCTCTTCGGTCAGCCATATCTGAGATATCCGCCGAGAAGAACGCCCCGTGGGCTGACTGGATGAATCAAGGCAACGAGCCATCCAGGCAGCTACTAGAAAGGCAGACAGCATGCACAGGACGCGCTCAGTCAGTCCCCAGCAAGCTCATGGACACTGCATCTGGTTGTAAACGTCTTGTCTAAGAACACAGTAAGAGACGGTCCAAGACACACAGGACTGTGTATGCGTCGTATACATGCAGCCCATAAATACATACTGCGGCGCGTCTGGCGTGGGTTTGATGAGATCGTCTTCGGCTACTCTGCAGATAGTCACTGGCTGATGGGAGGGTTCTAGTGTCGGCCAGCCTCCATCAGGTGAAACTCGTTGCCGGAGCAAATGGTGGCAAGACCTGTACTGTGATGATTTACGTGCCTTGTTCGTCGAGAAAGCGGGAGGCGGAAGACCCGGCGCCCGGCTCGTGATGGGTGGCTGAGGAGAGTATCCCAAAAGGCGTGACTGTGTGTCCGATGCTGGCTGGCCAGACCGGAGAGAGAAGAAGCCGGGATAACTGCCTACGACTACGGGACCCTAGCCCTTGTTTTATACAGCAGATCAGGTCCGAAAACAACGGGTATTGTGGTCACAGGGTGCTTGTCGCTCGCACATAACAGGACGGCCTTTTCAAAACGGAGTGGCAATACTTGAATTTCAAATTTGGACGTTGTACCTTGGCGAAACCCAATTCACAGGGTTGTGGAGGACGCATATAGCCAAAGCTACCATTGGGATATTACCTAACTATCGCGTAAGAAGCTAGAGACAATTGAAGTCAATCAACTCAAACCCCACCACCCCCTTCTCCCTCTCCCCTCTTAACCAACGACGACGAGTACTTAAGCCGAGCCTTCTTCTCATGCCAGTATCAATGGACCCAACTAGCAAAGAGCTTTGTGGGATGGTTACGTTATTCCCGCTCGTGGCTACCACCATAGTTATCTCCGTAGCCTGCGCTGTATTTCTCAGACAAGGGAAGTCCTCGAAAAGTTCCAGAAAATCTAAAGTTTGTTGTTGTCCAGTTAAATGTACAAGGGAAAGCCGACGGGTCCGCTTTGTGGAAAGTACCGATAAAGCTATCACTTCGTCGTTCCCATCAACTGACGAAAAAACACCTCTCGACGTGGAACCAGAGGCAAGATTCGCCTAGCATAGTATACCGATAGCCAGAACGCGAAGTGGTCGTTGCGTGAGACTTCCGAAACGATATCGGGACAATGGACTTGATTAAAAGTCTATTTCGGATTAAAGAGTTGTTCTAGAACGATGCAAACCTACGTCTAGCTAATCATAAAGTGAGTTCCTGCTTCTTATAACACCACTAATGGACAGACTATTGGACATGTGTGTGTAGATCCTGGTGACACGTGGCTTGATCAAAGAGTGACTATATTCTTTGATGTCTCTTCTGAGTTCACTATCCGCGTGGCGTTTCAGGATGTGTCTTCGTACGCGACTAGAGATGGTCACTTGTCGTGACATCGACGTGACTAGGCGCATGTTCAGTCATATCTTACTGTCGCACATTTGGTCCCAGTAGTTGTTACTCCAATAACTCGCATATTTTCATTCTATTACGAAGCGAGATTCTACGTGGAAGACATGCATAGTTAAAACGGCTTGATTCTTCGAAGTAATAGGCTTATACGAGACGGGCAGTCGTTCCGTGGTATGCGATCTTGTGCGGTGATAGATTGAGTAGTACCATGAGCGGCGTTGGGGGATCTTCATTTCCTAAATACTTCCGCATTCAATTAATTAGACAGATCCGTGGCGACCATACGTAGAGCAAGAAGCTCAAACTAAGCTCAGCATATTGCTGCGTTCTGTAATGCGCATAAGACAGGACGATCTAAGGACAAGGTAGATTGGTATATATACCTAAACACCGCCCGAAAGTCCTTAAAAACTGCTTGTGGGTAATATGTTACGCGTTTCAACTATTTTCCGGAACGACAAGCCATGGTGTATTATTGCGTCCGTCTCATATGGACTACAGCCGCTAGGGTTCTTGACTATAGGCACAATATAGGGAAGTGTAACTTCTAAGAACTTTTAGAAAACATGTTAAATGAGTTATGGTGTTGCCCAAAGCAAGTGGTAAAAGATGGCTTGCCTTGTAAAAGAAGACATCGTAGTACTACCTACTTAGTATCTCTGGCTAATACTGATTACGAGTTTTTTATAGGTACTTAGCAGCTCAAGATGATCAATTGCTGGTTTAAGTTTGAACTGAATAGTGGGCGTGAAAGGCGTCGGCTATAGCCGATTAGAGTTTTGCCGTAGCAATGATTGTTATTATGAAATTTGCTTATTATGATCTATCCCATTAGTCTTATCGTCATTGAGGAAGTCTATAAGCAAGAGTAAAATTGGATTGGAGCTTGTAGTCTATTCGGAGGCTGAGATATAGTACCTCGCGATCTAAATGCTGGCTCTTTGCAGTCCTTTCATAATATTTTTGATGATATTAGTTAAAACGAGTTTATAATTTATGCCACCTGCGAAGTTTTTCTTGGCCTTAGGAGGTCCTTTGGCGTCTTTTTTGGACTCTCCGAATCTTAGGCTTTGATTTGAATAAGATATATTTGTACGTGTTAATAAAAAGAGTAAGTGCCATATAAATAACAGTCACTAAATCTATAGTGACATAATACTCTTCTCAGTGGCTAGAGGTAGCTGATGGGTTGGGAATGGAGAAGGGCTGAGCTTGGTTATAAAACTTGACTGCTATTCTCTCTCACGCTACCGGTTTGGGCCAGAGTGCACTCGTGGAGATGGAATACTTCTCTATCTTTCCGAATTGTACTTAGACTTGCTTGTCTACTGGGAAGAAAACTATTCCGTTCAGGCTATTTTTAATCGGCGTGGATGGGTGGTGCGAGCATATCCCGACTGGAAAACATTCATTGTAGGTTCGGCCTCTTTGGAATCCGATAGATTGCCTTCAACCCCCAGAAGAGGCTCTTAAGGATGGTTTGAATACAAGCACGACCCGCTGAACTCATGTGTATGGATTCTGTTGACAAAGCTATGTGCTGATAGAAACTTCCTGGAAGCCCCCCTGATCTGACTGATGGAGTGTAGCAGAGCAGAATCGGAATTCCTATACGGCGATGATACGTAGTTGCGTGTCTACATGCGTGGCTCCATAGTTGTGAATAGTAGCTCTTGACAATGCGTCTCTGCATTTCTGCTCTTTCACAGGCTTGAATGCCTGACATACTCAATGATGTATCGGGTGCTCGCGAAGGAGGTAGAACGACGTCATCAGCTGCGTCGCTAGCTTTACCGAACTCCGACATAATTCTGGGACATGGCTGAACTACGAACATGAAGCTCTTGACGGAGAGAAAATGGCCCTCACTAGGGGGCATATACTAGCGTTCAGATCAGCCCTAGTCAAACGAGGTAAAATCACGCAATCAGCCATAACAAGGGATGTATTCAACTTTAGCCTCGGGTTGGCCACCTGGGGTCACATAGGGCCACCTGAATGCAACATCAACACAGAAATGCCACAAGTTATCCGGGCGACTATGAATTGTCACTGGCAATGTGCGAGGACATCGACTTCCGGCTATCATCCCAACGGAAATGCGTGACATGAATACAATACTACTCGCGTCGACGGAAACCTGACATAGTCCTTACAAAACTAAGTAAACAACGACAAAGCTTGCTATCCTTTTCCTCCACAGCTAGCCACCCATCTATTCCGGAGGACCATTAACGCTTGCTACCTCGGACCAATAATGCGCCGCTCCCTTCACCATTGCCTGCGTCGGATCCTAATTATGTGCCATTCAACGTAAATTCAACGACTTTGCTCTTTGCGATATGCAGATAAAGCCTGCTGACCGAGCGTGGGAGCGTGCGAACAAAGCAGGAAATATCCTCGATGAACTCGGTGGCGATAGAGACGGCCTCTAGCCTCGAAAATCCGGCCAGTGAAGCGATACGTCCGTATTCGTGCGGCGGATATCCTGTCCCTACAATAAGTTCCAGTCCGTGAAGCTGAGTTGCCACCGGCTCCAAAGCTACTAGCATATCTGAAAGTGTAGCAAATAGCTCCGAGTCGGCGTTCGCATCGAATCGGAAGCTACATTCCACCACGCGAAGTCTAGGGCAGTTGTTGCGTGGGAAGTGTTGGGTGCCGTGGGAACTTGTGTCGTCTTTGAAGAACTGGGCGTTGATGAGTCGAACCCTTCTGACGTTTGGAAGATTCAGTCCTTCGTTAAGTATCCGAGGATTAATGATGCAGTC